TTTTTTCTATCAATTTACATATCTTGTATGTTGCTGTTAAACAATTAAGAAAACTCCGGTTTACCATTTATAGTGGATTTCGTCCACGCGACGTCGACACTGAGACCACGTGCTTCTCTACTCAACTTACGCGAGATGCTTTTGTTTCCAGGGGAGTGAAATCTGGAAAACATACATCGAATTATTATATAAAGGTTCCGTGAAATAAAAGACAACCACATACCGGCTAAAAGATTATAAAAAAATATGTGTTCAAACCAAAGACAGCGACGTCTACCCCACCACGGGATGGCCTACCGAAGACAAATTTAGACATCATTATTTGTTTAAAAACAAAACAACAAACCAACAATTTTTTGCTTACCGAATACATTACAAGCACGATGATAAGTACTGTCTAAATGCTACTTTGCCGTTCAAAGACGGCTAGCTGCACCGACTAGCTTTCCGCTCAAAGACGGATGGCCTGTCGAAGACAAACTTAGACATCATTCTTTGTTTAAAGATTTAAAAAAATATATTTTTATACAACCACGATGATAAGTGTTGTCTAAATGCTACTTTGCCGTTCAAAGACGGCTAGCTGCACCGACTAGCTTTCCAAAAAAAAAAAAAAACAGTATCTACTTATTGAGAATATGACGCGTATTGCGTTGCATTTTCTGATTTCCCGATGTCAAGTAATATGCTATTTTAAGAATTCATTATGATACTTAAAAAATACCCTTCTTCGAAGTTCCATCCAAAATTTCCATCTTTAGAGAGTTCTCTGTAAGCTTTATGTACCGCTTTCTGAAATCAACATTCAAGTAGTTAATGATCGTTAATATATCATTAAGAATGGGCGGGAAATACATAGTTAACAATGAAACCAAATATAACTATATACACCGCTTTATAGTAAACTAATTCGCTTTAAATTTGAATTATTACAAGAGATTTGGGTATAATCTCATTGCCAAGGCGTAAGTGATAGTATTTATGACTAGATGAGCTATATCTCTGTACTGTTTTTAAATAAGACGGCGGCAAGCCGATGTGTAACGTATACTTATATCAAGCCCTGTTTAATAGATGAAGGCATTTAAGCTACACATGCATTGTAGTAAATACCATAGACATAATCAAGTAGTAGATTACTTACAGAGCAATTGTGGTCGATTTTAACCATTTTATGACATGCATTACCACGTTTTTGTTGGCTGGACTCTTTCAAGGCCTTCAGCTCTGCTTTGAGTGCATCAACTTCGGTCCTGAGCTCTCCTATATCGTCGCGAGCTTCAACCTCAACTTCAAATTCGTCAACTTCAGCTCCAATCATCTTGTTTTATATAATCAGTTGAAGTTTGAATTCTTAACAAGCGAGAGAACTTACAAATTACACTTGAAAATATAAAAGCAAACTATCGGTATGTCAAGGCCGAAGCAACTGAATTTCCCGCCTTTTTGCATTGCAAACGTCACTAATTATAAGAGGGTACAATAAAGTACTCAATACTATGGTACCCATGCAGATGTGCTGGGGGTGGTGGGGACCCGGGAAATGAATGTAGAGCCCCCCTTAATAAAAAACATAGCCCCCTCAAAAAAACATCGCCTAACCTACTTCTTCTAGTTGAAATGTACTTAATAGGTCTTCATTGTTAATGTCTAGTCGTGTTTTATGCCGTCAAAATGTTGTGCTCTTTTATGACAAAGCTTTCGTCTATCTTCAGTAGGTCCTCCCCCATGGGAAAATGTTCTAATTATATCTTTCAAAGCAATTTTTTGAGTTATCGTGAGTCATCATCATGGACAAAGCTGTATACTACCCTCGTTCAAAAGAAAGGCTTTCGCTTCGTCGAAAGAAACTAAGGAAAAAAATACTGGAAAAACGTAAATTTAAAGTGACGGAAAGTCATCACGTTCCGAACAAAGAAACACAAGAGGAGATAACTGAAGCGGAGGAAACATCCATCACGTCTAAACCAGCAAAGAATGACGAAAAGAAGGCAGTAATAGAATCTTCACAATTTGGCCGTAGTACTATTGTCGATAATTCACATCTATTGGCGTCAACCTATGCTGGTCGGGTACTATTAGCAGCAAGACCAGAACTAAAACCTTCCTCAAAAGGAAAGAAAACAATAGTTGTAAATAAGCCGCCCATAATTCCGAAGAAGAAAACAACTACAACAATTCTAAATCCAAACCTATTAAAAGACTATGGAAATGAAAAAGAAGCACTTTTAGGCGAAGGGAGATTCGGCATTGTTCGACTTATGCAGTATAGATCAACGCTAGTTGCGGTTAAGATGTCAAAGGAGAGGAAATACAGTTATTTGATTGAATATGAAGGGCAAATTCTTTGTAACTTGGGCGATCACCCTGGCTTTCCTTATTGCTATGGTCTTTGTGAAAAGGATGGCACTAAATTACTCGTCATGGAGTTCTGTAGTGTGAACGGCAAATCTATTTCTTTGAATTATGCATTGAAATCTAAACTGATATCAGATGAATTTTGGCCAAAGATTCTGTATACATTAGCAGGATCAATAGGCTATATGCACGCCCAAGGGTACATTCACTGCGACATTCATGGGAACAATATATTGGTGATGCAGAGAAGTTCAACATGAATCCCAGTTATTGTAGACTTTGGGAAATCTGTTAAAACAATGCAACAAGCCCAAAACGATCGGGATCCGCGGGATAAAGAAAAATATCCCCATATTGCGCCAGAGCTCTTCAATGGCACAGGCGTCGCTTCGACTTTGACAGACTCTTATAGTTTTGGGTTCTTAGCAAAACGTGTATGTCGCAAAATCAAAACCTGCTACATTTATTACGAAGTTGCAAAATAATGCTATCACGACAATGTTGATTTTAGATTGTCACTTCAGGGTTTCATTGACAAATTCGAGAAAATTAGCAAAAAATGATTTCATGTCTAATGTGGTCGTAAAGTGTTTACGACACCAAAAGTATACTCGTCTAACTTAAAAGGGAATGTTATTAGATTTTTTTTGTTAACTGTTGTGAATAAATTGACCATTGTAATAAAGAACCAGAGATAAATGACTCAATGATAAGATAATTTCCCGACAGAATACCACTAAGAGATTTACACCCATGTGATAAAATAAAGACAATCATAATTAGTGGTCTGTGTATCCGTTGCTTGAGTATTTAATTGCATCAAACAATCATATTATTAGAAGCGAGCGCAAGCAGGACCGCGAACAATTGCACAAAAACTTAGAATCAATCTTATGTCTTCTAGAAGATCAAAACGCCCAAACTCTTTAAACAGTGCTCAGAATACGTTCGACGCTAAAAAACGGAAATGTGACCATTGTGTACGCAATCTTAGTAAAAGTCAATACTTTGAGCACAAACGAAGGTTCTTTGACAAAGAAAAAAAAGTTTGGAATAAAAAAGGCTTGGAAGGCTCAGCAGATAAAGATGAACGATCAATAGAAACCTACAATTGTACTCATTGTCGTAAAGAGTTAAGCAAAAGTCAGTATTATGAGCACAAGAGGATTTTATAATACAAGCACAAACACGTGGAAAATTGAGCAGTCTAGTAACTGCTTTATCGAAGATTTGCCCGGTAGCTCAAGTGAAGGTAATTAAATTGAATATTTAGAAACATACAAACAATTTTTCATATGTATGAAATAATGAGTGGTATTTAGAGGCATTAGCTGACATTGGATGTAACTCTTAAATTCGCGTTATTTCAATTACATGCAGTTTTACAAATTGTTATCATTCATTAATTTAAGCAAGTAACTATTGTTATTTTTTCACAGATCACGCTTCAACTTTAGAACTTGAAAGTAAGAACGACTGTGATCCTGACATATCAGGTAATGTTTATTAACTTTGTGAGTAACTAAGTTGAGTAGAAACACCTAGAAGGTTTCGAAGTCTCGACTTTAATGCGCTATTATGTATCTAACTTACTGTAAACTGCGCAAAATGTAAAACAAACATGATTTCTTTTATCATATTTTACTTCGTAAAGCATTCTTCTATCAAACCCAGTCAGTAAATTACGGCTTGAAATATATGCACGTGATGCAACGACTGATTTCCTTTTTAACTCGGAGATTGCGTTAGCAATCGTAGAGTTATTGTGAGGGGACAAGCTGTCACTCGCTCGCTCGCTCGCTCGATCACTTTCCTGTAAACTTGAGCCTGCGATGTTTTTGTCAGCAGTTATTCATTTAATCATATTAATATATTCTACTTACTTGCTCTAAATGGTCTCCCTGTGCTTTTCGATTAATCATTGTTTATTATTAATATATTCTCTACTTTGGTTACTATAGTAACTTCTATATTATCAAATTCACTTTAGACGGTCCGCCTGTGTTGTTTCAGCTACGAAATAAATTTCATGTTCCCACCAGGTTTCGAACCCGCGACCTCTGAATTGTACGCCAAGCCGATTGTGCCACGGTAACACTTTGAGGAAACTTGGCGTGTTTTAGTACTTTTATAGGGAGCACCGCTGTTCGAGTCCDGCTTGAGACAGGACATTTTTTTCTTTTTTTCTTTTTGATGTTTTGGAGATTCTCTTTTCTTTTTCTCCTTTTTCTAATAATAACAAACATGTTTCTGCATAAAGTTTTGTTTTTAAGAAATTCTTTTAATTTTTGCGATCGGTAAATAAAATATTAAAGGTTCACCATGATGGGTTTCCTGTGTTATATGCTGTGGATTCAATCGATATTTGCCGAAAACAACTGACCCATCGCACTAACTTAAAAACCTGGATTCAAGAGGAGAAAAAATTGTAAAAATTATGTTGTTTGACTTAGAATTGTACCGATTGTAATAAGTTTTGACTGGGTTTTCGCTTCGAGTACGTGTAAACATGGCGTCTCTGCTAAAAGTAGCTTTCACGGCCTTATAAATAWACTTCAAGCAAATGGACGGTTTCTATTCCGCTTTAGACTTCAAGGTAAGATAATAATGTACAARGCTTAGYAATGRYATACTTAAATCTTAAGTTTATCATATGAATTACAAATCAAGCTTTTTAGGCTGTGTCAACCTGCCCGTGAGTATTCATTGTTTTCAAATAATTAGCTTACGTACCGAGACTAAATCATTAATTTCATCGCTAAACCCAACCCAAACCTTACCCTAAACCTAACCTAGATCTAACCAAGGACTTTTGTTCAGTAATTCTGTATTTTTTTCGCAAACGGACATTTTGACTTCCACTATTTACACGGCAGCCGGGCATGTAAGTTGAGACAGACACTTCGAACTTTATGTCGCCGTTGTTAATTTACATGTAACTAAGCTGAAGCTTTTCCTTTTATAAATTTCGATGTCTCTCTGAACTAATAAGCTTATATTTTTATCAATAAACCTTAATCCGCTTAACAGTGATTGGAAGAAAAGCACTGGAATAATTCTGCAAAACTGCAAATCAAGAGCATAAAGAATAATCAAAAGAACAATGTGGATTTCATACTTCAACCTAAAAGGAGCTCAAAACAAAGTTATGATATACCAATTCACTTGTTCTTTCAATACATGAAGGCATTAGCTACTCAAATTTTTCACTAATAACTTATCTTGTTAGTTAATACTATTTTTTTAATCCAATTTAAATGTTGAATTGCATTTTTCCCAATATTGTTCTGATCTTATTKTTMTGWTTTTTT